AAGACCACTCACTCAAGACAAATCACCAGCCAGAGGTTCCCAGCTGAAGACCTGGCTGTGATTTTTCACAAATGGCTTGAGTTCACTCTATCTGTCCACAACTCAGCTCACACCAGCAATTCCTCTGGTTCTACTTCATAGAACATGAAGCAATGAGACCCAAACAGAAACAACACACATGGAAATAGTACTGAGCTGAGGGATGGTGGGCACAGCAGAGAAGAGCTCAGAATGCCTCTACAGGACCCTGCCCTGCCAGTGGCACAGCTAGTGAGATTTGAACCTGCACAGCCCACAGATGGCTCCAACCCATACACTTTCCTTCCCAAACCATTTTGGTCTGCTCAGCAGCTGCTGTCAGGAGCCTGGGCTAGAAAGAGGTTCCTATCCTTCCTCTTTGATCTGTCGGTAACTATAGAGGGGCAGTATCAAACGTGCATTTAAAAGAATTCAACCAAGGGCCCCTGCAAAATCGAGAAAGAGAGAGAGAGAATCCTCTCAGAGAATGAGCAACTCAGAGCTGGGTGAGATACTAGTACTGAGAGATTTGGATTTTCCATGCAGTTGGCTCCTAAACTCAAGTCTCATTTCAAGTGGTGCTCAAAGGAACCTTGCTTAACTTTTCTTTCATGTTCCTTTTTGTATTTTCAGTCTTTTCCCTGTATGTAACTTTAAAAGACTACAATTATATCTTCTACGTATACCCATTCTTATGTAGGTACACTACTATGTGTTACACATTTATGCAAAGACTTTACATTTTGGTAATACACAGATTTTTTTCAAAGCTACTGTTGATTAAACACAGTTTCTACTTTATATGACTTTAGAACCTGATGCCCACATAGGATACAGCTCCGCTTCATGGGTACACATCTTCAAAGTTCCTCCACAAGCATCTGCCTCAAGCCAAGAGCCTTTATAGCCTTGTCCAAGATCGTACAAAGGGTGAGAACTCTAGTGGCCAAGAGTGACAAAGACAGGCAGACTTCCTACGCTCTCCCTGCTAGGTAAGACATGTGGCACCACAGGCCTGCCAAAAGAAGGGCTGGCTTGTCCCGGCTCTTGATTTTTTCTTTTTCAAGGACAGTTTTAGAATCACACCAGCCAGAAGTGAGGCATGACAAGGCCAGTTCCCTTCCCCATCACCCTCTAGGGTCCACTCTCCCAGAAAATGACAGGTGGGGAGGCAGTCCACTCTGCACTGCCAAGGAAGGATCTGTTTGGGTTCAGTCTGTAGTTTTTCTGGGGCAGTGCCTTAAATCTACTGTCAATAACAGAGTGGGGGAAGGGACAGACCTCTGGGACCTCAAATCACCATGGAAATATCCAAGGCTTTCAATAGCCCAGACTTAAGTGTCCTTCCTTCTACAGCCCTGACCAGCCTTAGGATCCAGATTTCCAAAGAACACACAAACAACCCTAAGAATGGTCGCATTCCTTCATAAGCCCCTGCATGGATCAGAGTCCCCATTTTTCAGATGAGGAAACTGGGAAATCTGTGAGAGCAAGACAAGATCACACTTTTCTTGATCAAGACTAACAGAACTTTCTGGTTACCTCTTAATTCTTCATTACCAGAGAGTTTCTCTTCCTTCACAAGTTCTTTTCAGCCATTCTTTTCCCCACTTTTTCCCTCCAAATGCTTAAACTTCTTTTTCAGCCATCCATCCCTTTTTCCTCTCCAACTCTGATTTCCTCAACGTCTTAAACACTTTGAAACCCCAAGGACGATGCTCCAAGAATAGGTGGAGTGGGCAGCGCCTGTGGCTCAGTGGGTAGGGCGCCGGCCCTATATACCAAAGGTAGCGGGTTTGAACTCGGCCCTGGCCAAACTGCAACAAAACTGGCGTTGTGGTGGGTGCCTGTAGTCCCAGCTACTCGGGAGGCTGAGGGAAGAGAATCACCTACGCCCAAGAGCCGAAGTTGCTGTGAGCTGTGATGCCACACAGCACTCTACCGAGGGAGACAGAGTGAGACTCTGTCTCTTAAAAAAAAAAAAAAAGGAAAAGAATAGGTGGAGCATCTCCTCTTCTTAAAAATGTCCTTTCCTGTGGTTCAGAGTACCCCCCACAGGCTCCTTATCCCCTCACACTCCCGCTCAGGCCCTTTGTGACCGGCCTCAACTTCCCCACCCTCCCTGTCCCATCACCGAGGATACCGTCCTGCACGTAACCCGCCCCCAAAGTTTCGGACCCTGTCCCTCCAACCCTCTCGGTGCTGCCTCCCCCTCAACCCCCCGTCTCAGAAGCTCAGGCCTGACTCTATTCTTTCCGCGGTGCCCCCAGCCCAGCATCGCAGCCCCAGGCCCGGCTCCGGCGCGCTTACCCGACCAGAGCACGAGCTTGCCGTGCGCTTCCTCCTGGGAGTCCGAGTCTCCGGCCAGCAGCGTGGAGGTGGCCCCGTAGGGCAGCGCCGAGCCCAGGCACACGTTGTAGCGCAGAGGCTCGCAGGGGGCTGCCCGGCCGCAGTGGCTCAGGAGCGGCGGCGGGCCGGTGACGGCCGCGCTCCTTCTGGGGCTCCCGCCCGCGCTCCGCGGCCCAGGCCCGGTCGCGTTCCCGCTCGAGGCTGCCCCCCGGCTCGGGCCCCCCAGCAGCAGCAGCAGCAGCCCCAGGAGTGGGAGCTCCGGCCCCCGCGCGGGGCGGGCAGAGGCCATGGCCAAACCCGCCAACTCAGCAGAAGCCCCGGAGCCCCCGCCTGCTCCCCGGAGCCCCCTGGCCACGCGCGCAACCCTCGGGGCCGCGGAGACTGTTCAGGCGACCTGTGCGCCCCGCAAGTCCGGGCCCGGGCCTCCCGGGGCACTCCGCGCGCCCCTGCCTCTAGGCGCCCAACTTCGCAAACTTTGGAACCAGGGGCCCATGTTGGGCTGCAGAGGCCCGGGCCGGGATGCACAACTCCCCAGGCCCTCGCTTGGCGATCTAAGTTGTCTTTAGTCCCGGGAGCCCTTTGGACCCCCAATCCCCAGCCCCATTCCTTCTCCCACGGTTAAAACCAACTTTCGACCCAGCGAGAGAGGCCAGGCACGGGCCGGGGGCTCGGGGCTAAGTCTCCGGCTCCGCCTCCGAGCCTGCCCGCGGCCCAGCAGCTACCTTTGCCCGAACGCGCCGCAGCCCCCCGAGTTCTCCCCGCCGACTACTCGGCTCCTTTGTTGCTTTAGCTCGCTCGGCTCTCTGGAATGCATGGGCCTCGCAGAGCCAAGCCCGACCCCCCTTCGCCAAGGCCGTGGGAGGGACTGGGCGAAGGAGGAAAGGGGAGGAGAGCTGAAGGAAGGCGAGAGAGGAGGAGCGAGAGCTTTGGCGTCCCAGAGCCGGGAGGGGCCCGGGCTTGGGGGGATCCGGTGACCGTGCCTGCTGCCGCCCCGGGCCGCGGAGAAAGAGATGGGCGGAAATCGTGGGCCGGACTTGCAGCCAGAGACTGATCGACTTCGTAGTCTCCCTAGGGTTTAGTCGGCTAGAGTTAGAGGATGCCTAAGTCAGCGAGAGCGCGTACTTCATCCCTACCGCTTCCCAGGCCTGCCAGTCTTTCCTGCTTTAGGTGAGACCTTTCAACTTGTGGACGGGGAGCATGAAAAAGAATTTGTGTTTGGGTTTCCCACTTCTCCAAACCCCTCCATCTTGGGACCTGTGTGAAAGCTGACCTCAGAGCCACTCACGAAAGTTGCCCTGGCTGCTGTTACCTGTAGGAGCAGGTATCTGGAATGAAAGTGCCAACACCAAGACTTTCTTGGTAGAAATGTGTGCAATGCGTCTGAATTGTGGTGTCCAACGACTGGCCTTGGCGTGTCTTTGGTTGTGTCCGAAGGCAGCCAGTCCCTTTTCGATGGCCCTTGCTGCTCATCGCCAGAGGAAGTTTCTGCTGCTCCTTCTCTCTGCTCATTTTGGTTTTTCTCACTTTGTGCATCATGCTTTCAGTCACCACACTTAATTTCACCTGGCATCAGTTTACACCTGCATAACCAAGTAAGATTCCGTGTAACTAACGGTACACCCTGGAGAGGGGACTTCTTGCTCAGGGTAGTGAAGCAAGGGTCCCCCAGGGTAGTTTTTCTCTTCTGAGCCCTGGAGGAATAGTTCACGGCCTAGCTGAAGCTGAAGTTCTGTTACATTTCACTGTTAAGAGCAAATTAGGTACTGCCCTTTAGCTAACATCCTTAATTGGCACTGTGAACCCAGTCTATGTGCATAGCATGGTGACATTTGGCCAGGACTTTACCTTATTCCCTTTGTGTCCACAAAGCATCTAGTTCAGTCAGATATACATATCAATCACTTGATAAATGAGCTGCTAAGATGATGTATACTGTGAGTTTACTACAGCAATTTATAGCAGAGAGATCAGTGTGGGTAGTGGAGGAGATGGATTTTGCACTGAGGACGGAAGTGCGAGTAGGAGTTAGAAAGTGGAGAGGATGCTGGTGCCATGGCTCACACCTGTTATCTTAGCACTCTGGGAGGCTGAGGCTCGTGGATCCTTGAGCTCAGGAGTTGGAGACCGGCCTGAGCAAGAGCTTGACCCATCTCAAAAAGTAGCCAGTGTTGTGGTGGGCACCTGTAGTCCCAGATGTTTGGGAGGCTGAGGCAAGAGGATCACTTAAGCCCAAGAGTTTGAGGTTGCTGTGAGCTATGATGCCACAGCACTCTACTGAAGGCAACAAAATGAGACTCTGTCTCAAAAAAATAAAAAAGAAAGTGGAGAGGAGTAGAACTGGCATCACAGGTAAAGGAAACCATGACAATAGCTCAGAGCGTGACTGGCCTAGTGCTCAGGACACAGGGAACAAGATATGTAGAGAAAGTGGTAACGAGCCTCAACTGACATACAGAGGAATTAAGGCTTAATTTTGTTGCCCATTAGGAAGCAGTGCATATTTTTTATCAGAGGAGTATTATTAATCCTCAGTATATAAGCTAATAAGCCAATGTGAGGATGGTATGAAGCACAAGAGGCTGGAGATAAAGGCAATTTTGAGGTAAGTCATTAATTCCCTCATGGAGGAAGTGGAAATAGACTATCACTAGCCCATAATATTCCCACTGGAAAAATAATTTAAAACATTAAGACCGGCTCAGCACCCGTAGCTTAGTGGTTAGGGTGCCAGCCCCATACACCTGGGCTGGCAGGTTTCAACCCAGCCAGGGCCTGCCAAACAACAATGACAACTACAAAAAAAAAAATATATAGCCGGGCGTTGTGGCGGGCGCCTGTAGTACCAGCTACAAGGGAGGCTAAGGCAAGAGAATTGCTTAAGCCCAAGAGTTTGAGGTTGCTGTGAGCTGTGATGCTACAGCACTTTACCAAGGGTGACATAGTGAGACTCTGTCTCAAAAAAAAAAAAAAATTAAGACCTACTTCAGTTATATTTTTTTCTGTGTTATAATGAAATGGCTATTACAACCTGTCCAAATCTGAGCTATAAAGTTGCCCTGGTGCCTGTTATCACATCGCATCAGCTTTGATTTGTGAATTTTCTCCACTTATTTTCTATATGATCAGTACTGTGGCATGTTCTCAGCATTCTGTATGTTAGGGAGAAACTTACATATGTACTCAGGTAGCCCCTTAGCTCTATGCCTAAAAACTCAGTAGGTAGTTCTTCAGTAGGAAGGCTCTACCATTCTTTTTTTTTTTTTCTCTGTCATTCAGGCTTTATTTTTCCATCCATTTATAGGCTCTACTATTCTTTGTCTGTGATTTCTTAGGCGGTATGAGGAAGATTCATGTGGTAACAATATAGTACCTTTACCCTGGAAATAGAAGGATATTGATGATCCTAAAATGTTATCTTCTGGTCAGAGCTCTTCCCTTCAGTGGGAGAAGCTAATCTATTTTCTCAATTTGTGTGTGTGTGTGTGTGTGTGTGTGTGTGTGCGTGCTCCTACTCACCAGACTTCAGTATTCCTTCCTAGAAATGCTGCTGGTCTAGCAAAGAACAACAGGAAGGCAGACTGAGAACATTCCCATGGCACTGTTCACTGCCACTGGGCTAGGTTCCCATCAGTGGCAGCTGCACCGATGTGCTATTCCACTGATACAAAAGGAAGTAGAAACAGATTCAGGAATCCTATCAGACAGTAGGTTTGGAAGAAGAAGGAAAAGAGTTCAGTGGGAGACTAGGGAAAAGATGATTTCTTGCTGATTACTGAATGGCATTCATGGTCCTGGAGAAAGCTTGTCCTACAGATATACCAAAACTGCCAATGTCTGTTAGAGATCCCTCAGATTGACTCACTCTCTGGTCTTCAATCTGGTGTCCGGCTGGGAAGTGCTTCCCTCCTGAGCCTGGACCACCCCTTCCTCAGTTCCACAATAATCTTAGCTCTATCTTCATGTCCTAACACAGTCCTTTTGTTAGAGATGAGAGGCTGTCCCCTGTTGACAATGCATTTTAATACTTGATTTGCTACAAGTAGCTTCTTGATTTCTGAGTCATTTTCATCAAATATTTTGGCATTTTGAGGTCACACATTCAATGTTGATTCTTTGTTATTTGCCTTTGGGCCCTTCACTCAAAGAGGGTTGACATGATATATCTCTGGGATATTCCATGGATATCCTTGAGATGTTGGTTACCTCCGTAGGGTTTAGTTGTTAACACTGGCCAGAATTTGCAGCGTAATTATTGCAATGCTCTTTTCCCCCAGTATTTCCTATTTTGTAACTAAGAGCATTGAGTCAAAGGGAAAAAGTAAAATGGGAAAGGCGCTAGATAAGCAACCCCCTCAGAGAGAAAGTGCAATAGATTTGCAGTTACAGCCCTTGAGTTGGGCCTTAGTAAGCACTTTCAAGCAACTTACTCTGAACCTCTATTTCTTCTTTTCCAAAAATGTAGAAATTATCCATTTGTGTTTTTATATTCCAGTGATCAATAATCCAAAAAGGAATTTTTTTTTGAGACAGAGCCTCAAGCTGTCACCCTGGGTAGAGTGCCACAGCATCACAGCTCATAGCAACCTCTAACTCCTGGGCTCAAGTGATTCTCTTGCCTCAGTCTCTCAAGTAGCTGGGATTACAGGCGCCCACCACAACACCGGCTATTTTTTTGTTGCATTGTTGTTTGGTGGGCCCGGGCTGGATTGATTCTCTTGCCTCAGTCTCTCAAGTAGCTGGGATTACAGGCGCCCGCCACAACACTGGCTATTTTTTTGTTGCATTGTTGTTTGGTGGGCCCGGGCTGGATTCAAACCTGCCAGCTCAGGTGTATGTGGCTAGTGCCTTAGCCACTTGAGCCACAGGCGCTTAAGCCTCCAAAAAGGAAATTAAGATAGCAGTTCCATTTACAATTGCATCTAAAAGAATTAAATACTTAAAGATAAATCTAACTAAGAAAGTAAAAGACTATAAACTGCAAACTATTATATAAAACATTGCTGAAAGAAATTAAGTCTTAAATAAATGGAAGGCTAGCCTATGATCAAGAATAGGAAGACTTGACATTGTTAGTCAATACTATACAAATAGATCTACAGATTTAACACAATCCATATCTAAATTCCAACAGCCTCTTTTACAGAAATGGAAAAGCTGATTCTCAAATTCATAGAATTGCAAGGGGCCTTAAATAGCCAAAATACTCTTTAAAAAAGAATAACATTGGAGGATCCACACTTCCCAACTTCAAAATGTACTATAAAACTAAAGTAATCAAAATACTATGAG